TTATTCATAATATAATTCCAATAGACTGTATTTACAAGTAGAATACGTCCAATTAGATTGGAACGCCGGGTACCCTACTCTAACACATTGGTGATTGTTGACTAACTACAGCTTGATCTTCAATTTCCTGCCACAAAAAGGTAGAATACAAACTCGTTCAATTTCCTGCTACAAAGGTAGAATACAAACTCGTGGATTTGACAGAGGAAATACATAATTAATTATCTATCTACTATCTGTTATCTAAATAAGAGTGTCTTAACTCATTAGTTATTTGAAGTTAACCATAATGATGCTCCACATGATCTAAAATACGTAATACAGAAAACATTAAAAAGGAAGAAAAACAATAGAGTTTAGAAAGATGAGGTCAGTTGGGGCGGTTAGCTAACGACAAGAGAAATTACCTTCCATCGCTCAGCACAAGACTTCTATTGGTTAACCGAGAGAGGACATAATCTGCTTCTTCTTTTGTTTTTAAAATTACAAATGCTTGACCTATCAAATTTAGTAGTAAAAGAATAATGGAGCCAACCAATGACATATAAATGTATAATAGTAGAAGGATAACATAATTCCTGTAGTTGCTCAGAGAAGCATTGAAAGGTACCTAGAGAGGATGGAAGCTTCCTTTTCTTCAATGGACCACCATAGGTCCATACGTACTCGCAGGCAGGACTGTTTCAAAATTCTTCACTGTAGTTATAACATAAGGCCCCTTTTTTATAGAATTTATCATCTGTCTACTAGCTGGAAGATATGGATTATTGTATCCTGCATGCGACTCAATTTACTTGAGATCTCTGCTTCTACACTAACTAAATACTAAGAGAAAAATACACATTAAGGGCTTCAAACAATTATTTATACAAAAAATATGAACTACTGCAAACAATTATCTATACAAAATATTTACTAACGAATATAAATATGAACTATTGCTTTAAAAATAACCGCACCAACTAATGCCCTAGAAAGGATTAATGACCACACTTATAAGGACCATTTTGCTATCTGCACTATCATTTATAAGCTCGCATTTTAGATAAAAAAAAGTATCACGTGTTTCTTTAAGAACTTGGTCTGAACCAAATCTTATTGAGCACTACAGTAGGAAAGGAAGGATTGCTTACTGTATGCAACTTTTTCTAGTAAATTATAATAGTGTGATGGTAATGAAAGTTGTTGGGACTCACCAACAAGTTCTAAAAGAAATGCTAGATAAAAACATGTATTGGACCATGAGCTGGAATATCCTGTAAAAATCATTTTTGAAGAAGTTGTTGGTGTGCACTGATGAGGAAAATACAATCCCAGGCTAGTAACAAACTTCTAAATAAGATACGAGTCTATTTAAATTTTCAGGCTCTCATTTTCAAAAATCATACTAAAAAGATTATAACATGAGTCTCTCAAAAGACACAGTATTAGGCATGGCAAGGAACATTCGACAATGATTCCTTACCGGTGGTTGGTGGATGGAAATTGACGGATGAGCAGTGTCCAATTTGATTAATTTTCAAAACACTTGAGAATTCCAATATATTGTCATCAATAATTTACAATACACAAATCAGACTTTAATTAAATTCTAAGAACGTGATTGATTGGAATAAAAACAACAACTAGTAATTAGAGAATATATTGCCTTAATTCCTCAAGGCACTAATTCAATGGACTAATGGTTTAGGAGTCTAGTACTAATTTATCGCATGGATTTAAGAATACCCACCCTCATCCATTTCAATTGTACCCCATTGGCGACTATTTAAATCACAGAACCTCCGAAAACTAGCAGCATGGAACAACAATCACTGAAGAAAATCATAGGCCTTGATAATTACACCATAACTTTGCAACAATCATGTAAGTTCTCATACCTGTAGCTATGCAATTAAACACACATCTATGCGATAAATATATAATTATGTGATATACATAACTGTACGGAGCGGCGAGGGCTGCTGGCTAGTGGCCGAAGAATGATGGTCGAAGACGGTAGTTGACTGAACAATGGCGGAGAGTGAGTAGCTTATCTGTGGCTTTGGGGATTAGAGGTGATTTAGGGAGATGGAGAGTGAGCAGTTGAGTCGTGGAATTGTGGGTTAGGTGATTTTAGATAACTTTTAGTTATTTTTTTCTTTGCATAATTTTATTTGATTACGGATTCTTAATTATCCGTTTCTGAACTCCGTTGCAATTGTAACTGTGCAAAATTGGTTACAAAAATCGGTTCCTAATACATGAAATTCTAGTAGTTTGAGCCAAACTCGAGCAATTTTCGAGACTTGAGAATTCAATATGTCTCGAGCCGAGCTCGAGCAATCTTGTTCCTCTGGCGAGTCGAGTCGAGCCTTGTTAATCATGGGTCGATAAGCTCGAGCTCGAACTCGAGCAGTGCAAAAAAAATTTGATCCCTACTTGATAAGGTCAATGCTCGACTCGACTCGGTTCATTTGCAGCCCTGGGCTGGATACCACATAATGTTTATCACTCTTTTTAATGTCAAATGACCTCAATTCCCAAAGTGTCATAGTAACCCAATTAAGTAAAACTAATTGATCCAAATAGTTTTATATTTGCGCAAATTTCATTTACACCCCGACTTGATGATTACATTAAGTTTTTCAACCTTCTAATTAACAATATAACTTTTTCACCCCAAAAAATGCGAAGGTTATTTGAATGATTCGTATAACCATCACATATCAGTCACATAATTGTCGCATATTCACATTAGAAAGTACGAAGAGTTATGTGAATGACTTCGCATTTTAAAGTTTCGCACAATGTCAATCGCATAATATGCATAATGTTTTCGCCTTTTCTGGGGTGAAAAAATTAACTTTTTATTTAACGGTGTGAAAATTTTATTCATTTTTCAGAGTAGGGTGAAAATAGATATTTCCTCTTTATATTTTTTCAAATATGATTAATTTTATAAAATAGAAATATTTTATGCTTTTAGTAAATATTGATACTAGTATTCAAAAGCATTAAAATTCTAAATTATCGAGTAAAAGACAAATTAATTATTTTTTATTATTTTTGTGTATATTTACAGTATAATTAATATAATAGTTTTTAAGAAATAAAATTAATTAATAGGTTATGCAAAGTAAATATCAGGGAGTCCTAAATCAAAATAGTTTGCATATCGCCCCTATATATAATTTAGAATACGTTGAACCTAAGTGGCAGGCTAATGTACTTCGTTTGCTTATTGGCATAGATTAGTATTTCGTATTGACGCAAGTTCAAGTTTGGTTTTGACTATTAGGCTTGAGAATTACAATAAACTATTTTAGCTTTCATTTTTTCTTAAGTTACCATATACTACTCTTACCTTTTTATATAAATTAAATATAATAAATATGAAGTATTTTTATTATTGAATATAAATTTTTTATTAGTATTTTATTTTTTATACATGAACTACCAAAATAATCATATTTTAACGATATTTGATTTGACATCCATATCGCATATATAAAATAAAAAATAATTTTATTTATAAATTATCTATATATATAAATAAAATTAATTTATTATCAACTCAATTTATTAAATATCAAATAATAATATAAATTATTTATAAAAATAATAAAAATCTCATTCATTCATACACCATATAATAAAAATTTTATTGTTTTTTCCATAAATTTTTGATAAAAAATGAAAATTTAGTATTACATAAAATAAATTTTAAGAAATATTAAAAAAATTATTTCTCAATTTAAAAAGATTATATAAAAAATTGAATATGTTATTTAAAATAGTAAATATAAAAGAATATCATAATTAAATATAATAAAATAATTTTATATTTCATAAAGTTAGAAAATAATAGATTTCTATGTAAATTCTAAATTCTTAATCATATGCATTTAAAATACTTAAAAAATTAATAAACATTATTAAATGACTCTATTAATATAAAATATAATCACAATACAATAAAACTTATTTTGTTTAAAAAACGAATCAATATATATGGAATTATAAATAATATCAGTTTTATACATATATACCTTTAAACATATAATCAAAAAATATCTTCTTGAAAAATTAGTGTAAAAATTACAAGCACCATTTGAATTAATTATCACTTTGTTAGTTATTTATTATCATTGCGAATTCTTCATACATAATTCCATAATAAATATATAAATTATTTTAATTTTTATTGTACAAATATTAATTAATATATTTAAGTACCATGTAGTACATGAGTATTGCAGTAGTTAATGTTAATTTCGAAAAGTCACAGCACTCCAAATATGAAAAATGTTACAAGTACGTAATAAACATAGTACATAACACTCACATAGAGTGGAGTCTACTTGATTTTTTATTTTTAGTATGACCCACCTAATGTGACTGTTTATGTACACTTCTATGTTCAATATTATGTACCTATAACATTTCATTCCAAATGCCTTCCATTTCCTAAAACCTTAAACCCCTCCTCTTCCTTTTTCCGTCTCTTCCACCTTCCTCCATGGCGGCGAAACCAAAATAAAAACCTAAAATTCCTCCATTGATCCGTTTGAAGCCATGCCGACCTTCACCAGCATCGCCTTGGATAATCTGTTCGAGCCCAGAGTTCGAGATACTCAGAAGAAGCCTTTTCACTGGGAACGCGACGAGGCCGACCCGGTAAAAGCGGCCCCGAGGCACCTGTACATATCGCCCGGTCTTTACGTCACTCCTGATCAGGCTCCCATCCCCGACCATTCGCTGCCCTACCCGCCGTCTCCTTCCCCTTACGTGGTCAACCTCAAGCGCCGCCGTGCTGGGAATGTGGGGAGGGTCGAAGTCCTGGAATTTCCCTCCGGAAACGAGGTCGATGTGTTGAGCTCGGAGGAGGTCGGGGATAATTTTGTGGATGAGGTGGTGGCTGGATATGATGAACCCGGTGAAGAGGAAGAGGGGTTTCAAGATCTGAGGAGTGAGGCGATGAGCGTGGGGAGTGAGGTGGAGGTTAATGATTTCGGCACCAATCAAATCGAGAGCCGCAGCTTTGTTTCTGCCCAAGGGGAATTTTTCGATGCTATTGAAGGTATTTATTTTTCTCAGTTATTTTAGTGGTGATTCTCTTGAAATGTGAGATATCTGTGTTTTGTTCTTTTGTCTGCGTGCATCACATTTTTCAAATCATGATTTTATTATCATTAAATGGAGATGAAGGGAAGGTAATTTTTATTAGCTGTATTTGATATTATTGCTAGTTGCTACTGGGATTTATGATGTTTAAGGTTGCCTGTGGAAACTGGACCCGTTTGAACTACTGAACTTGACACTTGAAAATAAGTTTGAATTGATTTTATTGAGGAGCAATGTTATGTTGCAAGGGAAAATAAGAAATTTAATTAGTTGCTGCTACGAGATAGCTTTTGGTTGATTTGCTTTTAAGTACTTATTTCACCAATCGTGGTAACCCTTATTTATATCAACCTTCTTATTGGGGATGGAGCTATGGTGCTAAACGTAATGCGAAGCTCAATATCTGGATGTGAGAAAATATAGTGACGTAGTTTGATTACAGATAAAAAAATGCATCTTACTTGAATTCAATGATCTGACCATACACAACTTGACTTTTACGAACAGATTTCTCCACAGATAGCTCTGTTTCAAATGTGCATACGTGTTGTTCTAGAACTGAATCAGAATTGCATGCTACAAGGCTCAGTCTTCTTGAGGAAATCGAGAAGAGAAAAAACGCAGAGGAGAATCTTGTGTCGATGCATACTCAGTGGGAGAGGATCAGGAACCTTATGTCTGAAGCTGGCCTAACATTTCCTGCACCTCCAGTTGCTAATGGTAGCATCCCGCAAGATAACAATTTAATGGACCAGATTTCTCAGGAAGTTGTTGTTAGCAGATTTGTTGCCGAAGCAATTGGAAGGGGTCAAGCACGTGCTGAAGCTGAGGAGGCTGCTTTGTCTGTTATTGAAATGAAAGATCAGGAGATATCACGTTTGCGTGATAGGCTTCAGTACTATGAGACTGTTAATCATGAAATGTCCCAGAGGAAGCTTGTTGGTATGTTTTATCAGCATTTTGCCTTCTTAATACTTGAAATGTCTGTTGCACAGAAGGTCTCCCTTGCATTTTTCATATAGGCAGTTGCATACAGTTCCTTGTTGACTGAGTGGGGTTATACTCAATATGTTTTTTAAAAAACATTTATTTTCATATAGATGGTATAAAAAATAGACCACAGAGAACAAATATAGATAATTATCTGTTTGTACGCGCGAATTAATGCCCTTAATCACCAAGTCTTTTTAGTGTACTAGCTCGTTGTGGTTTGAGAAGAGGAGGGATGAACTTATGGTTTTTTTTTTGGTTAGTCTGCTTAGCAGTGACTCAGTGGAAAGAATCTCGTCAATTATCTTTTCTGTGTTATTGAAGTAGCGTAAGATGGAAGAGGCTTGTTCTTTAATATAATGATATGCCCAATGGTGTTATTGTGTAGCATATGATGGAAGTGGTGATAGTTGATTTTATGCAACCATGAGTTTCCAGACTCCTAAAGAAGAAAGACTACAGCTTGCTCTATTATGGAAAGAATAATATATTTCTCAATTTCATTCATATATCTTCCTCTAAACTTATTTCCCTTGTTTCTAAGTTGAGTAACAATTAAATCAGCCTTCATAGAACGAGAGGAAAGGAATTGCTATAGTAGAACTGAAGTGATCAGGCCAAGTGGTCTTATGAACTTTGCTTAATATTACAGTTTCATGAGGCTTGTTTTTCTGTTTCAAGGAACTCATGATAATTCACTACGACTCCAGCTGCATACTAAAATATCCTGAAATCTGGTCCATTAAATCATGACCGTTTAAACACAATCGGGATCGATCATATATGTATCTATTCATACTGTCTTCGAAAATCGAGTTTATCTTTGAAAATTGTCATTATCAATGATTCCACATGTTGCACCTTAGCTACGCCGTAATTTGTAGAACAAATGCCAGCCTGAAGTAGGTATTTGGAATATTCAAAGATGCCATTCTCTTGCCATTAAGCTAAACTACATGAGTAGTGCTGTAGTTTTACCAATCAAGTAGGTAAAGGCATGTGTTTGATTTTTTTGATTAGTTTTCCCCCCTTTTTTTTTTCTTTCCCTTGCAGAGGTTGCACGTAAACAGCAGGAAAGGAAAAAAAGACGGCGGAGGTGGCTATGGGGCTTCATGGGGTTATCGATCACGATTGGTGCTTCATTTGTTGCGTATTCATACTTCCCTCAGTCTGCAGAAATAATCTCGTTGTTAAAACCTGCCGACTCTACAGATGCCTCATCTGCCAGTGCCCCTGAGACCTCCTGACACCATTAAGCTTGAAGCTTTTTTCTTTTTATCTCTGAGTCTCAGAGATTTTCTTGTATCTTCTAATTAGTATGTTAGTAGATCGCAGATAGGTGAGTCCGGTGGTCTGTTCCGCTCTATTTTTCTGTTGATCTTCTCTCTTGTGATGACTAATTTTGGACTTTCTGGCAATCTGCTGCTACATTGCAACCCATGTTCTTTTTTTTGTGTTCAGTTTCAGTATGATATGGGTTTTAATGAGACTAGTCACAAAACACAAAAAATTATGTATTTAGTGGCCAGTGCTGAAAAGTCGTGATTAAATTGCCTAAATGATAAAGGTGATGAACTTTTATGAATGAAATGACTTGAGAAAAAAGGAAAACGAACAAAACGAATATGTTAGGGTATATAAAATTATTCTATCTATTGAAATTTCCCCTTTAATACCTATGTTTAATGACGACAATTTCAAGATCAAAATGCAAAATTCTATGTGAAATGATACAACAGCTTTGTTGCCCGAGTCAAAATGAAATAACGTTTATGAGGTGAATACATCTCCAGTCGGTTTGAGGAACAAGATGCACAATTCCAGCTAAGTTTTGCAGGAACGAATGCGTCCAAATGACTAGACAACAGTACGATGTGATTCCGTGCCCAGCAAACAGATAGCATCACAAATGCTTGCACTGGACCATTGATGCGAATGAATGTTTTGATCTCCGACCTTGCATATAAATAGCTGCACAAGGTCGCACGGGCAAGGCGCAAAACAGTGCGTGTAAGGTGGCGCGACAATGCGAGACCGTGCATAGCAGTGCGCGGCAGCAGGCAGCGCGCGGGTCGCTGGAGCTGACTGCGCGCGGGCGCTCGAGGACCGCGCAAGACAGCGCTTGTCACAACGCGCGTACGGCGAAGAAAACGATACTCGCGGGCTGGGCAAATAATTTCGCGGGGAAGAAGGGAACTGGCGACCTGGGCGAAGAAGTTAGCGGGCGCGAAATGGCAGGAACGCGAGCGGAAAAGCCGCGCCAGGCAGGCGCGTGCAGGCGCACGAGCATGCAGCGCAGGCGCGCTAGGATTGGATGCACGCGAGAACACCGGGCGAGACGAGGCCGTGGAATCAGCAATGCGCGCGGGCGTGCAGCGCAGACACGCGGGTAAGACCCGAGGTCTCCAGGCGCACACGGGTCTGGGCAGGAGGCCAGGCTGGCAGTCCGAGCTGATCAGACAAGGGCGTGGAATGGGCGTGAAAAATAAGTAACACAACTAACTTGGGGATCAAGATGGCTTGGGAATCTTCTAGAAAATGGTTGGTTATACATGCTTGGGCCGAGTTTATTTACTTAGCATAATTAGGAGTTTATTTATTATTTTTCTTTTCCTAGTCTAGTTAGTATTTGAGTTTTGAGCATGTGTCTAATTAGTTATTGAAAAATGCTACAAGTACATAATAAATGTATATAGAGATGTACATAACACTCGGAGTGGGGTCCACTTGATTTTTTATTTTTGATAGGACCCTATGTAGAGTATTATGTACTTGTAGCATTTCTCTTAGTTATTTCCTTAGAATAAGATGCTAGATATATATTATTTCCTTAGGCTTAGAATTCTAGTTCTCTTAGGGTTCGACTTAGTTTATTTCTAGTCTTTAAATATCATGCTATGTAGTATGTTCAAGCTTTTCATCATGTCTTGAATTAATAAGAAAATCGTCCCACTTGGACACAAGTCTCATGTGTTAGAATTCATAAGAGTTTTACATACAAAATCGTGTTAAAAATAGGACCAACATCCGAGTCTCTTCACAACCTATCTCGAAGCACGAAGGCATCACCGCGCGTATTAGTAACTTATTTTGGCACGGGTTCGAAGCAATCGAGACGATCTTCATCAACCATCACAGGCGGTGATGCATTACAATGTAGGCTCGTGCATTGCGAACTGTGTGATATGCAAAATGTCCTTGAAACTGGGTTAAACCAGCATCACCACAAACATTCTTATGTCTCGAGCTCCAGGGACCTGCAATACACTGGGGAGGGATCCCGGCGAAAAATTTTTGTCGCTCAAGTCAGTATTTGCTCGTAAGAATAATGGAAAAACTATATGTTGTATGCCTAAGTATGCGTTATATTAAAATAGAACTTGATCACCCTTTATATATACTTTATATAATAGGGTATCTTGATGCGCAAGTAAAGTTCCGGCTTGGAAATAGATAGCCTCCTTAGCGATATATACTTTCCGTCCTTAAGAATTTTGTCCTCGCTTACCATAAGATACTTAGATCTTTAGGTTGTCCTAACGATCTCGCAGCCCACCAGCCACGGACTCTAACGAGGTCGTAACCACGACCGATGACCTCACAGCCTTAGAGTTGGGAGGTCCCCTCATCTGTCCGAGCTCCTAGAAGACCCTACCTCCAAGTCTTATTATCAGGTCGACCTATATCCCGAGCTGCCTAAGCGAACTACATGACGAGGTCAAACGCTGATACGGAGCTTAAGCTCCCCAAGACCGGCCATTCCCGAGCTAACCACTGATGCTGGTCTACCTAGCTATTCTAG